GCTTCAATAAGGTAATTCAGTTAAGTCTGTGGGTCATGAAATTAAGACATGGAAATCCCCATTTATAAATAGTAAACATTTCAAGAAAAGATCTCATTTCCAATAGCAACTACATAAAAAAAAAAAAATTGGGGGGGAAAGAGTCAATGAGATACGGTGCTGGACCTTTGCTGACTGAAACGTGAAAGCGCTCTTTCCAGAGGAACAAGAAAAAGAATTAAGCCAATTGGAAGAGGCACCGCGCTCATGGCAATACTCAAAAAGATAAGGATTTAATCCCCCCTAACTTCACTGTAATCTCTGATGAATTATCAATAGGATTTTTGCACCAACCTTGTGATAAGTTCTGTCCTAAATGTTTGGGATATATCTAAATTTAAAAAAAAAATCTGTGCTTTTAGATACCTCACAAGAAGGTCTTTTCGGGTTTGTAAATATCAGAGCTGGAGCAGGAATGTACGTGTATTTTTGTTTTGTTTTACCAAGGAAGGAAATATACAAAACCCTCATAAGGACTGCCTATGGGGAGAGCTCCTGGAATAAACTGGAACTATTTCTTTTTTTACCTCTGTATACCATTTGATTGTTATACCATTGAAATCTTTAAATATTTACAAATACTTTGTAAAATGCCAATGTTAATTATCTGAGCAATGAATAAGACAGGATTAAGACATATTAAAACATCTGTATTTAAAAAGGAAAAAAAAACAACAATGATTGATTGGTGGATCTGGGTCAAGGCTCTATTCTTCCTCTGCTGCCCTGAGCCCATCTAGCTCCTTCTGGGAGCATCTCTCTGGGCATGTTTGTTTCCTCATCTAGAACACGAAGGGGTTAGATACGATCTCTAAGGGTCTGTGCAGCCCTAATATTTCAGGATTCTTTCTTCCATTCATTCGTTCAGCTGGTTTTGAAGGGCCTACAATGGTACAGGTGCAAGGGATCGAAGTGTGCCAGTGGCTAACCTCAGGGATCTGACAGTCTAGGTGGGAGGCAGATATTTAAGCAGACGATCCCGCAAGGAAACGCACAAGGGCACTGTGGAAAGTGCAATGAAGGAGAAGCGAACCAGGACAGGGGAGATGAACAGGTCTGAAGGCAAGAGGGTTGGGAGAAGAGTCTGGGGGAGCTGAGCAGCATGAGCAGGTGTTAATGGGGTCTGACAGGGAGGGGGAGGTTGGAAACACCATGGAGAACAGCAAACACCTACAGCAGGACCACCCAGAAGCTTTGAGAAGTCTAGAAAGGCACACAGCATTAAGAGCATTCAACGGATACCTGTCTAATGAACTGGAGAAATGTCACACAGCTAGGGGAAGTTCTTAAATTGTATTTTGCGTCTCTTCAGAATGCCCTTGGAAGAACCCACCATTAATCAGGCATCCACACTCAGATACATAATCTGTGATCCACATCTTCGAGCTAACCCTCAGTCAACTTCATGGAACCATGGGATAAAGAAAAGCCACCAGCTGTTCCATAAGCCGGAGGCAAGTGACAGTCACCAGTGTACCCCAGGAACCTGTGGGGTGTATCTGAGTGCCGAAGCCCGTGAAATGTAGTATTTCAACCTGCATGGCAAAAAAAGCGAAGATACTGAGAAGAACTTAAACACTGATAATGGTGGGAGGGGTGCTTTTTCCCAAGATAAAATCATTGTTTTCTCCCATGTTCACAAATTACAGGGTAAGTACAAAGTAAATTAACAAAGGGAGCATGGGGGAATTAAAAAAAAAAAAAAAAGGCAGTAAGCAAAACCTGCCTTCCAGCTACATGGAAAAACACTCCAGTGCCCCGAGTAAATAAATAATAAAAGGATATGGAAACAATACACCTTGAAAACTCTTGTCCCTCCTCTGTTCTCCTGGCCAGAGGCAGTGCTGACAGGTTTACGCTGCCTGGGCTACAGAACCGGCCAGCATTTATTTATCTAACAACACTGGAGTCCCCTTTAAAGAATCAGGTAGGGCATTTCAAAGACATGAAGCCCATGGGTTAGTGTATCCCATTACCTCACTCCAAGCCCCAGCATTAACTCTAAGACAAAGTACCCTGGCCCCCGGAAGTAAAGAAATACTAGAAATAAGGGGAGCTCAGTTCACACCATTTTCCTCCCCGCCCCCCATCGTAGGAAGGTTCTTGAGAATATCTGCCTATAAGGAAAAATGAAACAATGCACAGCAACTGCCATTCTCACCACACCTAGCCCTGGCTTTTGAAAAACACCTCCGTTCGTATGGGTTCTGTCTGTTTCACAATGACAGCCTAAACCTGGCCGGCGCACACATGTTTATATTATTCCTTAAACACATGCTATGCCACCAGTGCAAGCAAACTGTGCAACCGCTAGGGACGGAATAGGACACGCATCAAAACAAGGCAAAATGAAACACAAAGGAAAAAATGAAGGTGGAAATAATTATGCAGGATCACAGAATTTTAGAGCTAGAGGAGGGTTTGGGGAATAAGAAACAGGCTCTCGGACCTGCATTAGGGCAGACAATCGGTAGCAAAGAAAGATCTAGAAGGGTCTAGAAAAGTCTAGGAAGAGAAAATGCTGACTAGCTGTCCTTTCTGCAATAGGCCGGGAAAGCCATCTCCTGCCGAGGGCAGTGGGCTGGCCTCCAGAGCGGCTGTCAGACCCAATTCCCCGTGGAGCAGAACAGCCTAAGAAAGGAGCTGACATTCAGGAATCAGGCCACTTTTTCTTGGACGTTAATTTTTCATAGAATGTGGCCTAGGATTTGGTAACACTTGATGTAACACGATTTTACTCCCCTTCATTCTTCTGGGAAAGCACAGAGATGTTCACTATTATCCCATTTTACAGATAAGAAAGCCAAAGGTTAGTTTTCTTTTTCAAAGACAGTACACTGCCCAGGACCTGGTGACCGGGACTGCCTTTCTGTGGTCAGAGCAACATCCCACAGGTAGCAAAATGTCACTAACAAAGCATTCCTTTCATGCCCAGGGAAGGGGGCAGGTGAACAGCAACAGAACCCAGAACACATTTCTAGCTCACAGCCCCAGTCTGCAGATGAAGGATCCTCCCAGTGTGACCTCGAGGGCTCCCAGGAAATGCGTGAAAAAGGCAACTGACCCATCACATCACCACTGCCCTGAGCGTCCACAGGCCCCGCGAATCTGAAACCTTCTATGGAGGCAGCGAGATCAACCGGTCAGCCCCGGGTCTGTGTCCTGGTCATGACCTGGCCTGCTTGGACTGTTTTCCTCATCTACCCCCACTCTGCATTCTGTTTCAATCAAATGGGAACATTGGTTAAACACCACATTTCTGGATGCACCAAAACTAAGGGTTATTTTTTTTTTTAAACACCCAAATAAACAAAAGATGGCAAATCCCTGTGGTGTAACACTAGTGGAACAGTCAACGGTGAGATCCAAAGATATGAAGAGAGGGGGCGCCTGAGTGGCTCAGATGATTGAGAGAGCATCCAACTCTTGATTTCAGCTCAGGTCATGATCTCAGGGTCTTGAGATCGAGCCCCACGTTGGGCTCTGCACTGGGCATGGAGCCTGCTTAACGTTCTCTCTCTGCCTCTCTCCCCCCATTTAAAGAAATAGATTCCTGGGCTTCCCTTCCAGCTGAGTGGGGCCTGAACATGTGCATTTTCAGTGTGAAGTTAAGTGCTGTTTCTGTCTTTGTGTGTTTGAAGATTTCTTGGGACCTCCTCTACTTTTTTCTGAGCTTTTCCTGGCTTTTCCTGAGCATAGACCCTGCTTAGGATTCTCTCTCCCCCTTCCACCCTACCCCGCTCATGTGAGCATTCTCACTCTCTCTCAAATAAATAAGTATTCTTAAAAAAAAAAAAAAAAGATATGAAGAGAAAGCAAGTTATAAAATATGTATAACATGGTGTCACCATTATTAATATACGCAAGCATATCTGTAGAAAAAATTGGATTTATCTACTGCAAATACAACATAACATCGCTTGCAGTAGCATTCTCTAAATGGTATAATTATTGGGGTTTTGTATTTTCTTTCTCATGATTTTCTAAGCTCCATCTGTACTTTCCAGTGATTATGCACCAGATTGGTAACAATTTTAAAAAAATGATTTGAAGACTTTAAACGATCCTCATATGCACACTTTTTGTGGGACTGGGAATGGGAGTAATTCCTTGGAGAGGTGATGCGGGCATATCTTTACAAGTTTGCATCCAAATACTCTTTTACCCAGCATTTCAGTGTGTAATTATCCCACTCCCAGGCGTGTACAAAGAAATAGAAAAAAGGACCATCACTGCAGCATTGTTCGGAATAGCAGAAGACAGAAAACTTAAATGTCCATCAACAGGGAAATACTAGTAAATCAGGGCACCTCCAGTCGAGCTAATACAGCCCAACAGGAAAAACCAAGTTATGGACTGACACCAGACTATGTCTAAGATACGTGATTATGAGAGAAAAGCAAGGTGGGGGACAGACACTATCATTTGTTCTCAACCTGCTTCCCAGAATATACTCATATTGGTGGCACACGTACACGCTGTCTCCAGAAGGTACCCCCCAAATTGATAACAATGTTGCCACCAAAGAGGGGAAGTGGGGGAATAGGAGAGAGGAAACCAGACGAGAGGGAAACTTCTTGTCATTCGACTGCCTTCCCTCTGTCCTTCGAATCTTTTACGATGTGCTTATATGACTACAAACACAAAACCAAACCAAGAACCTTAAAATATAAAAGCCTGGAGGGAAATGGCTCAATTATTTTCTAAAAGTTTCAGTACCTTATGCCACACAGTGTTCTTCATTCTGAAGGCGGCCCCCGAGAAAACGCTGCCTCCGGAAAAAAAAAAAAAAAAAAAAAAAACTACGCAAGGGCCCCCAAGTGCTGCTGTCGACCCGATGCCCTTATGTGACTTTTAGGACCGGGTTTGGACAAGATGGGCTCAGCCAAAGCAAGAGCACTGTGTCCCTTGACAACACTGTCCAATTCTCACTTGTATGCAGTAAACAAGAAATAGTTTACCTTTCAGCAAAGGTATCGAGTTTCCCCAGCTCGTCGGAGAGGCCAACAAGGGAATCCAAGGTCCCCACCTAAAAAGATCGTAAAGAAGTTAGAGGCTCACGCTTTAAGGCAGAGGAGAGTGAGGTCACTTTCAGCAACAGCAACAGCGCAAAGAGCTCTCTAACCTCCATCTCCCCTTAGTTATTCTTGGTCAGTGGCCGAACTGGAAACTGGGAAGGGCTGTTAAGAGAAGCAGTGGGTTGGGGAATTTTTTAATTATTATTACTGTCGTTGTTATTATTTTTTCTGCCAATAGGATAAACTATCCTATTTCTGCCAGAGGAAGGAGGGACCACTATGTCACTGTGAGACCCCAGCTCATTTTCTTCTTAGAATGGCCGTCTGCTAGTCATGGGATTCATCCCCATAGCTGAGGAGATGGACCAGAAAGCAAGTTAAAGCCACCGCCATTTCTGGGGCGCCTGCGGGGCTCAGTCAGTTAAGTATCTGCCTGTGGCTCAGGTCATGATTCTACAGTCCTGGGATGAGCCCTGCATGGGCTCCCTGCTCAGTAAGAAGCCAAAAAGCCTGCTTCTCCCTCTTCCTCTGCCCCCCAACCCCAGCGTGTTCTCTCTCTCTCTCAAATAAATAAAACTCTTAAAAAAAAAAAAAAAAAGGAAAGAAATTGCTGTTTCTAAAGCCTTTCTTCTTCAAGATGTCCAACGAAACCCCGTCTCTGTTCTTCTTTGCTATTACTAACAATGATCTTGGGGGCGCAGAAGACCAGCTCCTCCTCCCACCTCCTCATTCATGCATGTCCTTTTCTCTTCCCGTTACTCGTAAGGATCCACTTCTTAAAGTAACAATTATCAGAGTCCAAAACTGTATTTAAAGGTCTAGTCCACAGAACCAGAAGGAAAGGCTTTGTTTTCATGTCATCAACCACCCGTCAGACATTAAAAAGCAATCAGGAGGGGCGCCTGGGTGGCTCAGTGGGTTAAAGCCTCTGCCTTCGGCTCAGGTCATGATCCCAAGGTCCTGGGATGGAGCCCCGCATCGCATCGGGCTCTCTGCTCAGCAGGGAGCCTGCTTCCTCCTCTCTCTCTGCCTACTTGTGATCTCTGTCAAATAAATAAATAAAATCTTTAAAAAAAAAAAAGCAATCAGGATTAACGCTGTGTGGCCGCTATCCTTTCATAAAAGAATACTTTTAAAAAATACTTTAAGAAAGGTAATTAGGAAATAAGGAGCCCCGGACATCTCTAGTAAGTGAAGCTGCTTCTTTTCAAGCAACTTGACGTTAAGCATCTTTGGGGAGGGTCCTGTCTCTTCTCTTTGCTCCCTCCCGTCTGACACGCTGCCTTACACAAAGTGCTGAGTGTTCCCGGATTCCCTAACCTTCACAGCGGGGGTCACGGGACAAACAGGGCAGGTTTGAAACAGGCAGCGACACATGGGTTCAGAAACAGGTACTGCCAATTACCAGATCTGCAGCCCCGGTCTCCTTTCTCCGCCCTTCCTGATCTACACCAGGGACTGGAAGATTCCAGATGATGCGTTTAAAGTGGCTGGGCCCCAACCATAGTGCTCAGTAAACACCAGCAAATACAGCTGCATCCCCAATGTCTACGGTGCTGACGGTGCAGCTCTTAGCACAGAGGGCAGACTGCGGTCTGAAAGATTATATGGCAGTTTTCGAGAAGAGCTGCCCCTGGTCCGTTGGGGCCATCCCTCCAGCAGCCACAGCACATTTGCACAGGTGTCATCGAGAAACGCCTCAAGCATCTTCCTTTTGGAAACGTACAGTCTTGGGAAGCATGGCAACAATTCCACTCTTCTGAAGCAAAAGGACTGTGCACGCCTTGCTCCTCTTTCCTGTTTGTTTCATTTGAACTTTGTTCTCCACTGCAGGAGCCCTTAGAGTCTCCTGCCTCTCATGTCTTTGCTGTCACATCTCTCTGCCATCTGCCCACCGATCATTAAACTCCCTTCCTGCCTCCCCACCAGAACCAGAAGGATCCTGAAACTTCCCACCCTGCTTCAGGTCAGGAGTACTACCAAGGCGGAAGCTCTCCAAGCCTGCACGTTTAAACTGTACTGGAGGTCCTACCCACCACACCCATCTCTCCCGGCTCCTTTCGTCCTGGGTCTGTAAGTCCATAGGAACCACAACCAACTTCGGACTGTGGCATGAAGTCCCATCCAGACTACTGACTTGCCCGGTTCATCTTCAGCCCCAGGCTGAGGATCAGCGTCACTGTCTTTGCCCTGTGATGTCTCCTTGGCTTCCCAGAAGACACCCACCCACCCACCCCCAACCCATCACCTCCTTCCTCCGCTCCAGGAATTTTACCTTGAAGTCAGGAATCGAGAATTTGGTGTTATAAGACAGGTTGGACTTGGCGGTTACGGTGTTCATCCTCTCCAGAGCTTGTAAATTTTCCTGGTCACCAGGGGCAGAAATTAACCAAAACTCCGACATGCTTCACACCTTCTTTTATCCAGTTACTGACCAGAACCAGAGCAACACACACAGAAACAGGAGGAGACAAGCGTCAAATATCTCTACTCCTTCACCACTCCCTTCCATCAGAATTAATCTTCTCCAGGACGTGTTGCTTTTACCAGTTTCCCATTCTTTCCCATACTTTGCCCCTTCGACCTTCCAAATCAGATTCTCCAGTTCCAAGGACACCATAGGCACAAAGCAACAGGCAGTTTCTTATCTCAACTCTGAAAGCCCTCAGGGCTCCATCCCTAGGGTGGTTCTGGCTGTTTTTTAAGGGTTGGGGGACAGGGATGGGGAGAAGAGATGGGGAGAGGTGGATTCCCCTTCCTTGGTTTCCCCCTCTTCTCACACCATAATGCAAATGGAGGAGGGCCCGCACAGCGAGCCCCTGCGTGGGGCCCTCTAAAATACGTTCCTCCTCTCCACGTTGTACGTTCTGGGACGCGGTGAAGGATAGGGTAAAGGCGGGAATGAGACAAGGAGGGAATTTCACAACAGCTCAGACAAACCCCAGATCTTAACTGACCAACCTTGAGAATGGTGCTAGCTTTAAAAACACTTCAGAAAAACTCCTTTTTTTCCCCAAATAAGAAGGAAAAAAAAAAAAAAGGTGGTGGGAGAACTACTGAAGTCGTTTTTCCCTAGCAACAGGTGTCCACTCTGCAGAGGTGCGTTATGTGCGGGGCCTGGCAGTTTCTGTCCAGTGTCTGCAGCTTCCAAAGGCGATTAATCCTGCTCATTCAAACGTGCACACGCCCACACCGCTCTCCCCTTGGCCCGCTCCTCCCGTCCCAGCTCCTCGCAAGGCGCCACCGAGGGCTACGGGGGGAAAACAGGCAAAAACAGGTCAGAGACCCGTCCTGGAAGCTCTCTTGTTGCCTCCCACCTCCCTCGACGCCGAGACCCCCTTAGTCCCTCCTGACCCCGCGCACTACCAACGCAGCTCCTCTGGGTCTCGCCTGCTGATGGCCTCGCGACAAACCGGCCCCAGGCGCAGAAGCTGCGGGGATGCCACCTGCCCGGCCCCGGGAGGGCGCCGTGGAGGCGCGGGTTCCCTGGTTCCCACGGAGAAAGCGCGGCCGGGGACAGCGCACGTGGGCAGAGGCGAGCCGGGGAGCCGGGCCTGCGGGGCGGCTCGGGTGGCCCCGCGTCCCCGACCCCGCCGCGCGTCCTTACCGGGAGCCGGCGGCCGCGGGCGTGCAGCAGACAGGCGCGGGGACGGAACGCTCGGCCGGCTCCCGGGAGGCAGCGGCTTCTGCGCGGCGCCCCGCCCCGGACTTTTATCCGCAGCGGGGAGGCGGCCCCCGCCCGCCCCTCGGGTATTTGCATACGGGGCCGGGCTGTGGCCGCGGCGCGAACCCCGGGTGCACCCGCGGCGGGGTAGGGAGGTGGTTCCTGGCGGGATTCTGAGGACCATCGGGCGGGGCTGGGGGGGGGGGGGCGGTTCTCCAGCCCACAGCGTTGCAGAGCGCACGGGGCCGAAACGACCGAGAGGGGCCGGAACGACCGAGAGGGGCGGGCACGACCGAGAGGGGCGGGCGAGGCGAAGTTCTCGGGCCGGGGACGCCCGCCCCTCGCGGCCACCTCCTCGCTCTCCACCCCCACCCGGCGGTGACCCAGCACGGGGGCTCGGGAATCTTTGGGCGAGAGCACTGATCTGTGGGAAGAAGCGCAACAGGTCCACCTATGTTTTTGGAATGCACCTGGGCAGAGGACCAAGCCTTCCTGTCCGTGTGGGCGTGAGCGTGGCCGGGTCGCCAAGGAAACTCTCCAGGTCCCAGGCGCCCACCTCACCTTAACCCCCTGCGAAACGGCCCTGGATGTAGGACGGATTTAAAAGGCAGGATCTCACTACCGCGGTGTGGGATCCGTCCTGTTTGAAAAAAGAGGAGGAACCCCCAGAAATTAACCTGGGAATGTTAAAAAAACAAAAGCTCTAAGAATTCATTTTCTCTGGAGTAAGAGGAGGAAGCGCGACCGTATCCTTCACTGTGGACAATGTTTTCAGTGGTTTCTGGGAAAGATAAAAATCTCAGGATTATCTTTGGTGGGGGGTGTTGAAGAATTCCTTGAGAAATGAGATCCCCCTTACTAGATAAAACTAGTGAGACTATCAACCTACTGCCCAGAATGCTTTCAGATCTTTGGAAAGAAAGGTAAGGCGGGACTCTAGATGCTGGGATGGGAAGGCTCAGACACAGCGCAGACAGGAGGCTTGTAAAGGTCACAACATGTCACACCACAATCCTGTTGTGGGTTCGGAATTAGCAGTTTGGAACTCCCAGCACCTGCACGGTGCCTCATTGTTATTGGGACACTCGGGTGCATTAGTCAGTCCTTGCAACATCTTCCTGAGGGAGGACACCTGAAACCAAGGGATGAGGAAACTCGGTGTGTACAGGGAGGTAAAAATGGTAATTCCAGAGAAGGAGTGGCCGTCTTGGACCTTCAACCCAGGGTCTCCAATCTTGTACTTGACCCAATAATGACATTTCTTTCCAGCTAGGCAAAACGGAACTGTAGAGCTGGGCACAAACTCAATTACAAACGAGGGTAGGGATGCCCCCAGAAGTTACACAAATTGCTGGGTGTCATGTCACTGGGGAATGACGTGGGATCCAAGGGTCCTTTGTCCTGCTCTCAGCCAGCCTGCGGGAGAATGGGTGCTTTCCATTTCAGACAACATTTTTCTTCAATATTCCGAGCCATCGCCCTGGCTTCTCAGACGTTGGGCAACACATTTAGAGGTGTCCCTAACTTTGCTCATGGCACCATTCTTTCCATAAATATGGCTTCCTCTAACAAACTTGTTTCATGAAATAAAAGAAGAGTTCGACACAAAATAACATCTGGCCATCCAATTAAGAAATTATTGAGGACTGGGCGCCTGGGTGGCTCCGTTGGTTAAGCGACTGCTTTCAGCTCAGGTCATGATCCTGGAGTCCCGGGATCGAGTCCCACATCGGGCTCCCAGCTCCACGGGGAGTCTGCTTCTCCCTCTGACCTTCTCCTTGCTCATACTCTCTCTCACTGTCTCTCTCTCAAATAAATAAAGTATTTAAAAAAAAAAAAAAAAGAAGTTATTGAGGACCTACACCATTCCTTGTCTTACTTAAAATCTTCCCACTCTGAATCTAAAATCTTTCTGATTATTGTACATCGTGAGCTTCTTGTTACCTGTTGGAGTGTGTGATCGTTGGTGGCTACTGCTGTAGAGGTAACTTGGCTGTTTCCAACTAACATTTTTCTGCTTATAAATGTAATTCTATGCTGCCTATAAAGAATTTGGAAAACACAGAAAAGTGTAAAGGAGAAAGTCAAAAAAATCACCTGTATTTCCACAGTCTGAAAATAACCACAGTTAATAACTCTCTGTTACTTTTTAATGCATATTCATATATACATACACAGACTTAGACTTTGGGGCAGGATTGAGATTAGAAACTATTCATAAGGTTTGGCATCCTTCTGTTGCCTGTTTTTTCAAGATTAATAAATTATCAAGCCTATCTTATCAGTGAAGGATAATCCAAAGTCATCAGCAATTTCCTGCAGCTCAGAACCGGAATCAGATACATTTGATTTCAAAGGCAAATAAAGAGATCTTGTTGGACAACTTACATCTTAAAGAAAAGGAAAAAAAAAAAAAAAAAACACCCAGGGAGACAGAGGGAGATGAAAACAGCACTGTCTTGCCCCGAGGGTCTTTTGACTTGCAGTGTTCAAAGGCAACATCTGTACTCATCAGTTTGGAACAGGCTTGTGTTATTCTTTCAAGTTTCCCTATAATCAATCAGCCTTTAACACGGAGAAATGAGAAATCCACCAAAAGTCATGGAGCCTCGTCCATTGGTAGATCTGGAGAATACAAAACGTCATTCCCACCTTGTAAGGGAAGTGGTTCCTTTTCATATACCAGCCCGAAGCAGCATTTAACAATCCAGGTTCAGTTCCTCCAACTGTCCCCGTCCTGCCAAAGTCTGAAATCTACACCTAAATGACCAAAAGTTTACGTGCCCTGACCACTGCTTTGAAAATACCCGCAGGTTATGGAAAGAGCTTCATAGACACAACCCGGGTTATAAAGAAGACGATCTCTTCCTGGGACTAAAGGTGAGGGAGGAAATGCTATCGGCCTGGAGTCATCTCCAGCTTACTATGAATTTGGCTTTGACTGCAGAGTCCAGAAATGTTTCTGCAGTTGGCACCGGTTATGTATGGAGCCAGCTGGAGTCTGCAAGACGGAACAGTCCCGTCAAGTTTGGGAACCAGAAGGACCAGGCTGGCCTACTTGGTCTGCTGTTCTCTAGCCTCTCCCAGATAGTGCCCTTTGAATCTCTTTGTTACTTCGTGGAAAGAACCCTCAGAGGATGCACCTTACAATTAGCACAGACACAGAATTCCACCTGCCAGTGGCTCAAGTGCATTTTTCAAGGCTTTTCCGAGAAGAACCCAGGGAAGTTTCTCTATAAGGACAGCTCTCCGGGGGAGATAAGTATAAGTAGCATTGTCCACTGAGTCAGCAGGGTGTTGGAGAAAGAGTAGGCTTTGGTATCAGGCGATTGGCTGAGCTGCTTCGCCTTGCTGAGCCTCGGGTTTCCGTCTGAAAACGGGGGACAATCAAGCCCATCTTTTAGGCTTGTCCTGCAGGTGAGAGAGAATAGCGTTGGAGGCATCCAAGACAGTACTTGGAAGCTGCGGCGAGCTCGTCAGTGTTCCCTTCACTTCCTGCTCCGGCTCCTCTCTTGGAGGCTCTGTAGGGTTTTATACCCCAACCGTGCACCATTGTAATAATGCCGCCGTGATGCCAGCATCTTTCTCCATGGGCCCGAAGTCCTTTGATCTACATTTTCCCATTCAGCCAATACCCTTGTGATTTAAGGACAACCATCGCAATGGCTTCCCCTCTGGTTGGACAAACCAAGGCCGTGAAGTCTCATGATTTATTTGGTCAAGTTAAGGAGAATGCTCATTTAAGGAGTGAT